GTTCTTTAACTGATATCAACTTCGGATCTAACCTATCACTAATTAATTCCTAGCAAACCAACACCTGATATAAGATATATTATTCAGTGAAACCGTGACGCTTCAAATATAATTTAATATTGTTCATAATCATATCAGTTGTAACTAGACAGTTTACCAGCTTGACTTTCATAGTTCTCCTTCTTCTTTTCAGTTTGTTTCAAGGGTGGTAGGAGTTTCTGTCCATTCTACTACACGTATTTACAGTTGATTCGATAAGTAAAGTTTCCATTATAAATCGCTTGCTCCACCTTATTATATTGAATTTTAGAATTGTCATCTTATTTCGTTCTATTGTGTCGTTGTGTATAAGTGCATGTATTGTTTTAGGTGAATTATTCTTTAGATTTCTTTTTATAGTACTGATGCCAACTAATTTAGATTTTGCTCGGTTTTTGTGCTACACTGACAAATTCTTATGAACTAAATTAGACAGTGGCGATAAAATGCTTAGTTTAGTCATTATCAGTTTATATAAAAGAATACCGATAAATAAAGTTATAAAAGCTATCAGAAAGAAACTCATTTTTGATCAAGACGTTGAGCTTAGAACAAAAATGACCCCCAGGAGATATAATGTTAGGAGTGGAGCTATGCCTGACTTCTACAGTACTTAAATTTTGAAGTAAAATGTACAGAAAGACTCAGAGTTGTCATGGGGTCGCCAATATACATGGCAGTAGCAGAACTATTCATGGAGAGGTGGGAACACTTAGCGACTGGAACGTTCAGCCCCAACCTCAAAGTATGATGGAGGTATGTGGATAATCCATTCACAGTACTAGAAGCACAAAGTATAAATAGGCTTTCCGAACATATCAACTCGAAAGTATGGGTGATTGAATTCATTAATGAATTGGAAAGTCATGAAGGGGAGCTTTCACTGTCAGATTGTAGCATAAAAAGGAAAGAAGACAGGAAGTTAAACCCTCGTGTTTGCAGAAAACCCACACATTCAAACAGATGTTTGGATTTCCTATCATCCCATTCTATGTCAGTAAAAATAGGATTGGTGGAATGTTTAAGCAATAGGGGGAAAGACCAAGTAGTATGAAGGAGAATCTAAGACAGGAAATGAGGTAAATTAATCAGGAAGTGTGTGAGGAAATGTAAAAATAAAATTAATAATAAAATAGGTAGTACTACTCATGGCAATAATAATAATGGTGAAGACATGGATGATAAATTTGTGCAGGATGATGTCAGCACCAAAAGTAAGGAATCCAAATCATCAGTAGTACCTGCGTACAAAGAAGGAACCTCAGACACCTTACTAAGATGAAAAAATCCGAAGAATAGCTCACCTGCAGCACAAAATGCAATTACACACTACCACACAATAGGGTGGTATAAGATGAAAGTCTTAAAATCTAATCTAACACAATGGAGAGATTGATTACGGATACCTTATTTATCGAATCAACTGTAAATATGTACGATAAGAATGGCTCAACACCTGTACACGTCGACATCTGGAAAATCCTACTACCCCTACGATAAATAGAAAGGAATAAAGAAAATTATAAAACGAAAGTTTCATAGTTGTATAGCTACAATTGATGATATGATTATGAACAATGACAGATTGTTTTCGAAACCTTGTCATCCAGTAAATAATACTGTCTAACTAATTAACAAATCAATATATTAGATTTGTTATTTTCGATTCACTTTATTTATTACTTATAAGACTTATATCGTGTATTTCTGCTTCTTAACCCCACAATATTCTGGAAGACACACAAATGGTTTCATAGATTGTTTGCATAGGACAATGATGTGTATTCGGTCAGCATCTGTTTGTGTATTTCACAATTTCCTCGATTAGACGCAAAAATATTCATGCTGCTCAGTGATTATGTAGTTAGATGTAACTCAGCGCCATGGTGTATGCTAACGACTAATTCATATGGATAGTTAGTAATCACCCTCATCAGCCAATGGGGCTTGCTAGGCAAATCGTTGAAGTGATCCAAACATCGACTTGAAACTCCTTTCTGTCAATCAACAAAGCATACTATACTGTAACAACAGAAGACAAGGGCCAGGCAACAGATCGTCTATTAAGGAAATCAACACTTGTTGATAGATTTTCGTGTACATTATTATAGATTATTGTTAGCAGAAAAACTCAGTCTTCTGATTGGTTGTTTCTCACAGAAAGTTAACTTTGCATCTCTTTGTGGCTGTTTATTGAGTGTCAGATCATCTATATGTTAACTGTATCCATATACGCAAAGCCTTTGTTCTCATTCTTCTCACGACCAATATTAGGGAGATAAACATTGACGTAAATTACTGTCCACCAATTTTGACTAACAGCCAGCTCTTACTACAATACTACACTTTCTCTTGTTTTATTGATCATCATTTATAATATCAAGCAGACTTAGTTCCCTGAAGGAGATGATGGTGAGCTCTGACCTTAGACTGCATAATTTGTATACTGGGAATTTAGTCAGGTGTCACTTGGAATTAAAAACTGTTATCGAGCATGTTTGAGTTGTCTTTTTCCTTCTATAGTTCAAAGTAAATATAGAGTGAAATATTCTGTATTCCGTGAGCTTCATAATATAGTGTATGTCTTCTCTTTATTGTTCTCTTATGTATGTTGTAACATAATGAGTTTAGATTGTAACAAGTTTGTATCTGAGTGTCTCTATTGATTAAAGGGATTTATGCATAAATTTGAAGGTCTGTTAACATAGAATTCAATAAGTGTTACATAAGATTTTTTTGAAGTTACTAAATGAATAATAATATTGGTTCTTTTTGTCTTCGTGGGAAATGCATCAGAAAGAGCGTTAGCATCAGGTGATTGCGCAGCCCGAAAGATGTAAAGTTTTCTTGGGATTGAATTTTTCTAGCCCCTTTTCTCCTAAGAAGAGAAAGACAGTGTATTTGGTTTGTTGTTTGTCAGAAGGAGACAGATACAATATGCTTCATTTGTGACTACATTGACACTAACAACCTAGAGGTTCCCCTTGCCATAAACTACCTGAAGGAACTACAACTCAAATGTACGTTTAATATCCAATTCAAATTCAGTGAACCATTCTGTCTACAGAAAGATTGTGTAGCCATGGGGTCTCCTCTCGATTCACCCCTAACTGACTGCTTCATGGCAAGTCACGAAAACAACATCCTCGATCCTTCGGTAAGTCATTTGCACTTATACAGGAGATACGTGGATGATACTCTCATAATTTGTGATGAAAAAGTTGATTTAGAGTATCTACTCAAAACCTTCAACGCAGGACACCCATCAATAAAATTCACCTTAGAACGTAAGTCGAACATGGCATCTTCATTTTTCGATGTACTACTTACCAGAAGACATGACTATACGATCCAAAAATCAATATATCGGAAGCCAACATGGACGGGACAGTTTATCAACTTCCAAAGCTTCTTCCCACTCATCCAAAAGCAAAAAGTGCATTAAGTTCAAGGATTAGAAAAATTTATTCTGAAGACACGATGGAGAAAGAATTAAATTTATTACATGAAACCCCACTAGAGAAAAAATTCCACAAACATTCATAGACGAAAACATGAAAGAAAAGTCCCCATCACCAAATATCACAACTGTTTCTCTCTTTATCAACCTGGAATTTAAAGGTCATATCAAAGCAGAAATTCTCAGAAATCGCCTTTCTAAATGTCTAAAGAAGATATCTCCAACAGCCACTTTACGTATCAAATTCTCCAGCAGACAATTAATCCAGTCTAATGTTAAGGATAAGATACCACTTTTAGCCACTTCAATGTGTATTTATCAATTAACTTGCTCGTGTGGAGGAAAGTATGTCAGCCGTACGCTCCATCAAATCCACTAATGTATTCTAAAGCACAGTCCAGCTCGGCCAACCAGAGGAAAAAAGTAGAATACTAGCAGCTCCATTGTCGAACATTCTGTTAACTCTAAACATCGAGCACTCCCGCATGAATGCTTCACAGTGCTACACAGAGTCCCTCAATATCCTACAAAGGGACTTTGAATACGCCCTCTGTACAAAGCTGAAGCATTAGCTTTTCCGGGTCTGAAAACAGGCCTTTGCGTTCAAAGGCACCGTGTACATTAACTCGCCCTACCGTGGCCAGAGTAACGCTCTTACTGAAATTTTTCTTTTTTTATGTAAGTTCACTATTAATATTGTTACTGTTATTTTATTATCACTTGTATTTCTATAACCCATATTTTAATACCACTGTATTTCTGTTTATCAATAACATTGCGATTTCATACAGATTTCGCCTAAAAAACGCTTTATCGTCTTTCTTCTAGTTGCTGTCCATTCTACACAATCATATTGATGAGTCATTATCTCATACCTTTCTCGTCATGCTAACATTTGCCTCTTTCTAACTTCCAGTTAGTCATCCCATCTAGGTTACACCTTAAATTATGTAATACATTTTTCGAGGACAACGTTTTCCAGCATCTGATTGGTCTTACAATCTCTTTGTTAAATATTATTACGATTATTCAGCTTATTAAAATCAATCTTCGGAAATAAAATTTTCTTCTCTGTTTACGTCTTTTCCTCTTATAAATCAATTTGGGAATATTTCGTTCATTGAAGAATTCTGTATTCACCAACACTGCGACGTTACTCTCATTATTACACTATCCTAGTAACCGACCATCAAAACTACTTTTCTAACATGGAAAGATTAGCAGAAACATTCATTCCTACCGGTATAGCAAGCACATTGGGTCATTGAGGTATGCAAGTCCAGCCACCACATTAAGATAGCAGCTATCGATGACAACCTTTTAAGATGTTTAAATAGTAGCATTTTGTATCATGAATGTCTTTAAGGTTAATTCACATATATGGAAGAGATTTTAAAATCAAGCTGTTGATTATACTTAATTTATGTGTATTCTGTCACTTCATTGGAACATCCTAAATTATACGGTAAATATCTTTTTCTTTTAAAAAATTCTCTTTTAGATGGTAATCCGTTATTGGCTTCTGTTTGGGAGGCGAAAGCTGCTGGACCATTCAGTTTAATGCATTCCGGTTATGGTATGGGTGCAGCTATAGCTCCATTACTAATAAAACCGTTCACACTGCCATCAGTGCCAAAGAATGATACTACTATTACTAGTGATACGCCCACTGGCATTAATGCAACAAACAATAATACTGCCAAAGATTTAGTTCTAGTCGATGCTGTAGTACCGTATTCAATTATTTCGGGGATTATATTCTCTTGTGTCGCTTATTTCCTTTGCATTATTTGTATTGATCAACCAACATTTATTCTAACGACGAAAAGAGATAAAGAAAAGGTAACTCACTTTTTAGCAGTCGTCATTTTTTGTGGCCTCAAGAATTTGCTTATATTTTGTCGTTGTATTTCAATTAGAAACCATTAACTTAGACATGACAATCTACCTATGTCAGTGACTGATGATTGTGAATTCAATACCTTGCAGTGCAGTAGTTTGTTATTGCTGTAATTCCCACCTTAGGTGAAATTCCACTGAACAGCGTTGAAAAGACATTTTAGTCTGTTATGGGCATATTATATTATGCGAAATGAAATTATTTAGTTCATTTGTGAACAAGATTTCAAAATTTTTTACGAACTAACTTCAGTTAGAACCGAAAAGGGCTGGGAAGCTTTTCCGTTCTTGCTTCAGACTCCTCAGCAGTATGGACCTATAACTGCACTAGGTATAGAACCCAGCACCCTCAGGTGGGAAGTCTACCGAGTTGGGCGTGAGGACTAATAGCCGTCGATGACATTGATTGGAAACCTCTCTATATATCACGAATCTCTAGAAATCAGAATTTATGGGTCATTAACCAGTTTTCGCATGGTATAAGCGCTCGTTTTTTTAATCTGAAGGTCCTTGGTTTGATTCTTGATGGCATTATAGGGGTGTGCTGTGAAGAATCCCTAAACAAGACGAAATATCTGCCCATCAGTCTCCAGTTTGAGCTGAAGTCAGTTTTTTAATAATCTTCAAATCAATCAAGTTACTGAAAACAAACATTTGAAAACAAACTTGTGCTCAATGGAACTCTGCCTAAACTTTTCTACCTACCAACGATAAACTGTTCAGCTCAGTGACTTAAGAACACTTGGTTTGAATCCGTCCCACCTACTTTTACTGTTTCATTCTGCATGTGAATGGTAACGTGACACATGGAGAATCTGTTTCGGATAGTTCAGTCCCAACAGCCCTATTAGTGTGTAACCTGAGGGTCCGGAGTTCAGTTTCCCGTCAACATATTCCTCGATACCACCTCTATCTGGTAGTAAGCCAGTTTAAAGAAGAAGGAAGGTTAGGCGTCAGGTTTCACAACTCCACCCTGCAAAAAAGACAACACCACAACCTTCACTGAAACTTCTGAGTTCAAGCTTGAAGCCTCATATTCTACTCGGAAGGCTAAGGAATGAAAAGAATGAAAACAGTGACTGCCATCTTGGTCAACGATTTCAGTGTAACCAATAAGAGTAGTTGATTTCTGAAAGATTCAGATATTCAAACCGCTATTGTTTCGGTAATACGGCTTGTGTCTACTGAAGATAAATTGGATAGAACAGGAGTATTAACAACACAGCTATAGTTCGGAGAACTCCGTTCAAGGAGTCTACATGGCTCAAACCAACAATCAAAGACTTATTGATTGATGACATGTTTTGATTTGACCACTATCTGTAGATCTTTTCCAGCTCAATCCTATAACAGCTAACATCAGTTTATTTGGAAGGCTATGGCTTATTAGAAGTCACGCCATATCTTATTCATCTCAATTAACGAAGCTTCGCAAAGCAATGAGTTTTGAATCAGTGCGACCTAGATAGCCACTCTAATAGATATTTAGACTTTAATTCCTCGCATCCGTTAGCTGTTAAGGCAGACTTAGTTCAGTGTCTAACAAACTGAGCAGTAGCACTAAGTAGTACAACAAAGAAACCTACATGACGAAATGAAACAGATAGAAGAATAGCTGGTTAGTGTTAGATAACTATCCTACAAAATTCATCAGGAAGATCATAAAAGGCGCAAAGCAAAACAAAAATAACGGGAAACCTATTAATGGTAACATACATAAGAGAAAAATATAAGGCATATGTAGTTCTGCCATATAAGGAGGAGACATCTGAGACCCTATGTAGGATTCTTAATAAAGCAGGAACTAAAGTGATATTTTAATCTACAAACTAACTCAGATAGGGCGAGCTCTGTTGGATACAGGACCCTGTCGGTTGACCCAATTAGACAAAATATTATAATTTAATTGAATCTTTACATTTTCCTGTCAATTGATTGGACCGAAGTGCTCGGTCTAAGGTTGTCATGTCGGTTTCTTGTGCAGATGCTTCGACGATGTTTGGGCATTTCATTAGTATTTAATTGGTGGATGGTGACTAGCAGTCAAATCCAGGATGCGTATTTCGTCCTATTTGGGACTAGTAAGCTGGATGTGCCTGCATTTCTCAGTGAGTGATGATGTTCCCACCGAGGCTCGAACCCAATGCCCATCGAAGCATCTGCACAAGAAGCTTACATGTCAATCTGAGACCGAGCACTTCGGTCTAATCAATCGATGGGAAAATCTAAACATTCAGTTAAATTATTATGCTGTGTAACACTGTGGGAATTTATCAAGTAAATTTACTCTATTGTTACTTTGATTTATTTTGTTCCCTTAAATTCTCAGTGGAATAAAGAGCTTCAAACTTGAGCTTTGAAGTTTCGGGGGTTGCTAGCCTTATGCCAAGCCTATCCCTCTGTACGAGTCTTGTTACTGACTTAGCGAGGTAAAGGAGTGCATCGGCCGTGGATCTAACCCCGAACCAAATGCGTGGTTGGGGAGCATTCAGCCGTTAAGCCATCAACGCCAATTTACTCTCTGACAGAAATAAACTCTACCATACAGTGCCCAAGTTCTATTCTTATTGATTTTTAAGCTTGGATGTCTAGGGGAGATTGTTGCTTTGAACTTGATTTGTACAGACACCCTCATACTCTAACTTTATATGAACCGCCACATGGAATATTTACTTCTCGTTTCCCGCCCTCATCATTTTTTGCCTGCTGAGAATAAAAACCATTAACAGTGTTTCGTTCATCTTCTGTTTTGATTCCACTTCACTCTACTTTGCTCAACATCTGTTGAATATGTGAAAACACTTTATGATAACTTTAACCTTAACATATAAAAACAGAGAATTCCAGTTGTTTTATTATTTGGTTACAGGATTTCATCATGAGCTGACATTCGTTAAAGAACCATTGGAAAACCTTGGAGTACTGGATAGAGGTTTCGTCCTAGTTTGGGACTCTTCACAGTACGCACCCACCGCCAAGGTTCGAACCCATGACCTTCTGGTTATAAGGGGAGCTAGCTCGTAGACCATTCAGCAGCCACTGGGACCCAGCCCAATGGCCAGCCAGCCCATGAATTCTAAATTCTGCCAATTCACGATATTACGCAACCGCTAGCCAGTGTCTTCGGCGAGTATTTGTCCTCAAATCCGACCTTCTGCACCCTCTTGGTCACTACTTCCCACTGGAACCCCAGGTAACTACTCACCTGAATAGGGACAGTCGCCAATGAGCATTGGTGGCATAGCGGTTAGGACGCTTGCCGACCATACATATGGTCCGGGGTTCCGTCCCTGGCCGACTCACTCCTGTGTCCAATACTCCTAGGTTTTCCAATGGTTCTCTAACCAATGTCAGCTCATGATGAAATACTGTAACCAATCAACCAAATCCCTACAAACCTATACTTGAATGTTTTATTATTGTCTACTCAACAAAACACCGACAGTCTTTTGACCATTATGGTATAGTCTTTGAGAAATACTTGTAGAGGAAATATGAGAGAGAATAAGTGAATGACGGAGTAAGTGAGATAGAATAAGGGTAGGATAGATAACAACAGACAATATAAATTGACATGTAAGCACTCTGAACTGATGATAATCAATTAAATACAAGTGCATTTTATATGGCGTTATGTAAGTTATCATACAAGCAAATCAATTTTAATTAGTAAGAAGTGCTGTTTGTTTGTATGTTTATATGAATTCAGTAGCAACGGATGCTTCATTGTATTTTTTCAATGTCTGTCATCAATTTTGTTAGTAATAAAGAAGAAATATCAATAAATTTATAACACTACATAAGAAGAAGTATACACAATATTATTCTTATTTAGATTATGGATCTTTGTAGGGATTTGGATTGCTTTCAGTGTAGATCTTATCAAGAACCAATATCAGTCAGGAAGGTCATTGAGAACCAGGAGTCACTGCACAGCTGTTTCATCCGAGTTTGAAGCTATTCAGCGGTGCGCACCAACAAACTCACTAGGGGGCAAACTCGGGACCATCAGGTTACAAGGGTTAGAATCCATAGACCATTGAAGTCCGGTCCACATGGGTAAATGGCCGGCGAGCTTGGCCTCGTAAGCTGAAAACGCAGTGTTTGATTCCAGCTGAGGTCTAGGGTATGTAGTGCTGAAGAACCCCAAGCTAGGATAAAACCAATGTCAAGTGCTTCTTAGTTCCCCGTAATCTCTAACTGATATCGGTTCTTGACTAAATTTAAATTCTTCTCCTTATTATTATTAGTAATCATATATTTACATAACAATACAAGCTGTATATACTACTGATTGAATAATATGAGTAGTTGGATATCATCACACATCTCAACCAATAGTGGTCTAGCAGGCCAGATCACCGATGTGATAAAAATACCGGAAGGAGCCATCTCACTTGTTTTGGAGTCTAGTTTATTATCGGCGCCCCTGGTTCGACTCAGCACAGAGGAGCAAATAAGTTGAAACCAATCGAATTCCTGCTAGCTACTTGGCGAACTTGATTTAACATATAGGTTTTATTGAAAAGTTTAGTATCATTTGGTAGGCTTAAACAGAGTATTCAGAAAACAAACCCTGCGGGACGATATCATTTCATAGTTGCTCAGCAATAATGTTAATAACAACAATATTCTGAATGTGAAGATATTAGAAAAAGAGATATGGTGCATTCAGGGTTTCTGAGGATTTCGGTGCATTTCCCGTAAATTTCCTCCAAATTTATACGTTGATTTTCCAAGTATTGGTTTTTGTAGGGATTATGCTCGATTGGTTGAAGGATTTCACCATTATCAGCTGACATCAGTTATCGAACCATTGGAAAACCTGTATGGAGTACTGGACGGCTGTTTTGTCCTAGTTTGGGACTCTTCATCGGCACACATGGTTCAGCGAAGAGGCTCTTTCAGGTGAATTCATTCTCCTCTTCAGCTGTACAATTGCA